AGAAAGAAGCGTTGAGGGAAACTTTCATCTAGAAAGTGGGGTTGGGATACCAAGATAGGAACAGTGAATGTATATCCAAGTCACTCAAGAACTTTTATGCAGGTGCAAGAAGTTTATGTCAAAGTGGCTACAAGACTATTTAATAGGAGATGGGTGAATGTAACTCCATGTTTACTGCTAGAAACCAAAGCTTTGTGTGAAATCTTGAATTTATGTGGAGGAAGGGAGGGAGGGTAGGAAAGCCTGTCTCTGTCTGTCCCTTTCCTGAACCCTTCCCCTCAATTCTGAACTGCTGGAGTCTCAGCCCCCTGGGCTAAACTGGGGAGTGTTTATTTGATGGTTGATTTTGCTGTGTCGGGTACTTCTCTCCCATTTGCTATAATTTTTGTAACAGACATGCTGACCTTTTCCCCTTCTCCTCTCTACCCTGGGAAAATAAAATGAATAAAGACTTAAAAAAAAAGCAGATAGAAATAAAACACATATCAGTAGCACATAAACTGGAAAAAAAAAGAAATGAAAACCTAATGTGTTCTAAGTCCTTGTATTGTCTTGAAGGAGAATAAAGGTATCGATTACTTTTAGAATTAGAAAAAGCTACATATGCGTGTTGTAATGTACAGATAAATGCTAAATAAATAAATAAATATTCATTCCAAAATAGAGGAGGAAGAAATTGAACCAGACATACTCAATCCAAATGAAGAAAAGGAAAAAGAAAAAGAAACAGAGCAAATGTAACACATGGGAAGTATAGAATAAAATTGTGGATTTATCCCAAATATATGAAGAATTCCATTAAATGTGAATAAATATTACCAGTAAAATAAAAAGATCACTAGATTGGATAAAAGATGAAAAATAATTATACACTGTTTAAAAGACTCAAGTCTAAATATTGAGGATAAAGAAAGATTGAAAGCTAAAGGATGAAAGGCAAATACTAACTACAAGAAATCTGGTGTAACTACATTAATATCAGACACATTAAACATTAAGGGACATTATTTAAAATGAACAGAGATATTTCATAATGAAAAAATATTGAATTCAATATGAGAATTTAAGAATTTTTAGTTTTAGTTTTGTATGCAACTATTCATACAGCCCCTCACCTCCCCAAAAGGAAATAGATGGATACACACCATAATGGGAGATTTTAATATATCTCTCTCAAAAATTGATGGAAAAAGCAGAAAAAGTTAGTACAGCTAACTTTATAGATGATTTAAACAACATAATTTATATTCAACAATTCATATTCTTTTAAAGCTCACATAAAACATTTTTAAAAACTGAAATACTGTGTGATAAAACAAACATTAGCAAATTTCAAGTACTGAAATCATATTGAGTATATTTTTTAACCACAATGCTATTAAACAAGAAATCAACACAATAAAAACTATAAAATTTCATGTTTTGAAATTTTAAAATACATTTCAATTAATCCATAGATCAAAAGATAAATTATAATGAAAATGAGGAAGTACTTTGAGCTGAATGACAAATAAAATATTACATTTAAAATGTGTGGAATGCAACTAAAACAGAACTGAGATGTGAATACATACCTTTAAATGGACACATTAGAAATGAAGAAAGGCTGAAATTTCATGGAATTGTTAGGAAAAAAAGAGCAAAATAAACTTAAAGTAGAAGGAACAATACTAATAAAAACAAACATAAACAGAAATATAAACAAAGAGAATCAACAAAGTCAAAAGGTTTTTTTTTTTTAAGACTAATAAAATTGACAAGCTTCTGGTGAAATCAACAAAGAGAAAGAGTCCAACTTACCAATATCAGGAATTAAAAAGGTGACATCACTAAATCACAAATGACTGCTATATAAAGAAAGAGTAATTAACTTTTCATTAGATCCACAATATGTGTTCCTGAAAGCTTAGAAATATGAGGCAAAAACATATAAGAAGTTATTTAGTTCAAAATTTATTGATAGAACTGAATACTACTTGAATTTTAAAGAGTGAAAAACAAGTGTAGACAGTAAATGTGAGTAAGTTAAGGACTGGGAAAGGTGTGAGGTAGAAATGATGAAGCAGCAGTAAGACTTGTAAACTTGAATGGCCACATTAAAAAAGAGTAAAAGTAGAAAGTCAATAATTTCAAGCCAATCACTTTATTTATTACAAGGATGCAATTAAAACATCTGCAGACAATCATTTCTACAGAGATCACCTTATGGGGTTGTTTTGTGGCTGTGGAAAACTACATACCTTCTTTGGGTTTTAGTGTTTTTCTTCCACTGGATGAGCACCCTACAGAAGACAATTCAAAACCTTCAAAATTAGATGATTTTTACTATTTCAGAAAGGGGACATTCCATAATAGTTAAGAGCATAGACTTTGGAGTCATGAATTTACTCATACATTCATCAAATGTTTATTGAACAACTACTATGCACCAGCACTATTTTAGACTGTAGGGATGTAGACAAAGTCTCTATCATCATAGTATTTGTCTTTTATCAAAAGGAGAAGCACCAAATAGGTAGAAACTTATACAAAGAAGCAGGGATTGTGACATATGCTTTGTGGACAACGGGTGTTGGGATACAGATTAAAAATGATGCTTGAAAGCTACTTGGTACTGTGCCTAACTCACCACAAACTTCCAAAAACTGCTCATTGAGATTCTTATTTTTAATGGTGAAAACAAATAGTAACAATTTTATATAAGTCTATATAGACCTGTCAGCTTCATGACAGCAGGCACCGTCTCCACTAGTGTGTGTGTATGTGTGTGTGTGTGTGTGTGTGTGTGTATGCGTGTGTGTGTTGGCAGGGGACAGTGGAGGAACAAATGTGTTTGCTGAATGCTATACTTAGGTCACTGTGCCTGAAGCAGAAACTATTTGTCACCCACTATATATTTTCCTTTTTGTTATTTTAGTAATAGCATCCTCAATAAGTTTTTGCTGGGCATATGGCCTCCTAGCCAGAGAACATTTCTCAGCTTCCTTTGAAGCTTAGTGTGACCAAGTCTTCAACAATGCAACGTGAGTGGAAATGTAATGTGCTACTCCTGCTTCACTTTAAGCAATTGCTTGCTCCCTGCTTGCTCTGAGCCTTTTCCACATGCTGAAATGCAGACAGAGTTCTGGTTACGCCTCCTTCATCCATGTAGACAGTACCCTAGGAGCCTTTCTCAGCCAGAAGTTCCAGGAAGGAATTAAGCCCTAATGCCTTCAGGCAGCCATTGCGTACAATGCATTACATTCTCTCAGATGCATCTAGAATGGTATAGCTGTATAACATGCTTGGGAGAATTGAGAAAGGCAGTGAGGATACAGCAAAGTGAAAACAACCGGGGTCCCTGGATCACCTTGTGGAGGAGAGAGCCTGTCTGTCCAGGATCTCCTGCCAGCTTTGGATCTTGTCACCTAACTACTGCACTCTTGGGCTTTGTTGTTACAACAGCTTAACTAATGTTCAGCTCTGTGACTGGAACTGAGATGACTCTCAATGAGCAGCACTGCCTGGGAGTGGGGAAGGCTGGTGCTCACAGGTAAAACTAGAGTGGCATGCTTGGCAGGCAAAAAGATACTTGTTACAAGTATTACATACTTATTACATGCTTGTTACAAGTGCGAGCAGTAGAGCCGAAGCTAGATTTGCCATTTCAAAGGTTTATAATTGGAATAACAGTCATCAGTTTTTTTCCCTTGATCATTCCTTTCCAGGTGAGAAGTCATTAAACATGTTAGACTTTTCTTCACCCAATTATGTATTTTTTTAATATAATCACTTCTTGCTAGTGTGTGAAGATAACAATGTGATTGTATATAAAAGTCTCAGATTAACTCATGAGAAGATACTAATTCACATTTTATTTATTTCCCCTTAGATGACAGTGTGTATGTATGAACAGGAAATTATATAGATACACTATATACCTAATACATTACATTTTCTCAGTTCCCTGTTTTCTATAGTTTGAGTTAAAGGTTTCAATGTGGTTGTCTAGTGTCTCACATTTTCCTCTCCCCTAACACCACTGTGAATTTTTGTGTCTTGAATAGCTCTTCTTATGGTGAATAATACGTTTGGTTTAGTGATACTCTTTCTTGCTATGCTTCATTTATCTCATGTTCACTTTCGCTGTCCTTTGGTGACTTACACTGATGGCTCCAGTGCAGCTGGTAGCCTGTAACTCAAGCTTTTTTGCAAAACTAGCTTTCACTAAAGGGACTGCACAGAGACTACCAGAGATGGAACTTCCTTTAATTCCAAGGGAATGGTGGAGTGGAGTCTCACCCCAATGGCTGTGGAGCCCCACACATGGGAAGCAAATACACATAGGGAAGGGGAAGGAAGAATTTTCTTTAAACAGCTGTTTTGATGGGAACCCTGGAATATAATCCTGAACATAGTATAGCATTGAGCATTTGTGCCCAAACTTCAGTGTTGAATTGTGTTTTAATTTCCTCCTCCTTTTGGCTAAGCACATAAATAATGTACCCATTGTAGAAAAATTAGAAAATTCAGATAAACAAAAAGAAAAATTTAATTGAAAAATCCTACTACCCAGAGATTGTGACTTTATACCCTTTTAGAATTTTGTTTGTACAAATACGTACATCTTAATGTAAAAAATAGTGTACTCTTTTGTAACCTGCTTTCTCAACTCTCTCTCAATTAATGAAATACTCATATATTTCAATAAATCCAAGAGGTCCATGTTGTTTTTCTAGAGTTGCCTTAAAGACACAGAATCTTTGAACCCAAAGTACACTTAGTTCCATTCTGTCCTTGGGTTTCTTGATGGCTATGAAGGGTACTCTTACTAGCAGTTTTATCTTTAACAATCTATTCTCTAGAGAGTCCCTTTCTCTTTTATCTTGTTTTGTTTTGTTTGCACCCAGAGCTGCTGAAGACATCTCCCATGCCCAACTCCCAGTGCCTAAACTCCTACATTCTCAGAGCCGCTCTGCCCCACCCTCTTCCTCCCTGTCCATATAGGGCAACTTGTTTACTCCGTTAAGTCCTGTCCCTCACGTTCTGCCTCTGCAGTCTGGTCGCCTTACTCATTTGCCTTTCTCCAGAATCTGCATTAGCAAAGGTAAGGGACCTTGCTGGGGAAGTGTAGGGTGCTACGCTGGGGACTAAAGGACAGTGGTGAGCAGGACAACTTTCTAAGTAGAGATTGCAGTAAAGGAGAAAAAATGTATACATGTAGGAGTTAACACTGCTATCCCTGCAACAGTAATGTGTTGTGAAAATTTTCTATGACAAAGAATATGTGTACACTTCTGCTGTAATTTTTAATGACTAGATGGTGCATCATTCCATATACAGTTGTTTTCTATATATTTACTCTCTTCTGTTTTTGAATTCTTAACTTATTTAAAACTTTTTCATTAATGTAAAAACTCAGCTGTGAACATCTTTTGATATACACAAATCTTTGAGCTTTTTCCAAATTATTTACTTAGAACAAGTTCTATGAAATGGGATTGCTGAGTCTAAAGATATGCCTTTAATGAAAATTCTGCCTTCTTGCCCTTCAGAAAGGTTTATTGATTTGCTTTTCATTAGTGATGTATGAGATATTACTGACCCACAATTATGCCAGCACCAGTTACTATCATTTTTTTTAAGTTTGTCAATTCAATAGGCAAAAATAGCATCTTGTTATTATTTCACTTATTTAAACACTAATGAATTTGACATTTTTTATTTTTATCATTTTGACCACTGTAGGTCTGATTTTTGAATTATGTACTTATTTCTTATTGGAGGTGAATTGTGATTTGACATTTGGTACCACACAATAAGGCTTTGGAGTTGGAAAATGCTTTCAAGATATCACTAGCCACAACCAAGCATGGCGACATCTACTATATTGCAATTTATTTCTTTACTACCTTTTCAACCATTTGCCTCTACCTCACTAAGGAGAAAAAAGAAAACCTCCAGCAGAATGAAATAAACCCACCCAATAACTTTGATAAATCAAACCTTCTCTTTAGGATTTGTAATGGGACCATATTTCTCAGATCATCTAACAGCCAGGGGCCAATTGTCAGTAATGAGTGAGGTAATTCTGATGGGTTAGCCAACCTGAAAGAGGGGAAGCTCAGATGCTCTAGCCAAAGTAGTCACAGAGCACAGGATACAGCCAGGTTCTGAGCCACAGCAGAGAAGGGAAGTTGGTGTGGGGAAGAGTTTATGCATTTCCCAAAGCCCCAAAGGAAGGGACACATAAGGAAGGACTTGAACTCAGATCTGAGTATTAATTCAGTGTTTTCTCCATCAAAAACAAAATTTAAAAAACTAGAAAGAAAATCTAAAGAGCAAAGAGGAGAGCACAGGAATTAATTACTGGAACTTTTGTGGGATGGCTATGGTTAATAGAGTGGCAGGACAAGTTCAAATCTTTCTAGGGTAAATATGGTCATGAGAAAAGTTATGTTTATGGTCAAAGCGAGATGGCCCAAAGAGATCTTATTTTTAAGGATTCTGTGCTTTAGTCACTATATTTAGTGCCTTGTATTCTCTTTTCCAACAATCCAAACCCCAGTCATTCTAGAAAGCTGGTGCCACTTCAGTTCCCTCTTCTTCCAAGAAGTCTCCTCGACAGGCCAAGCTCACACGGAACTGCTTCAGTATTTACAGCCTGTCCCACCCTACTTAGTGCTGATTATCTTACATCTTCTCTTGCTTTCTTAACATCGTTGGATATTATCCTAATTTTCCTCTTAGACTGCTAGCTTCCCTCAATTAGAAGTTTAATCCCCAGCACAAAAGTAGGCACACAATAGGTTACAAATTGATCCATTCAGTGATGGTTTAAAACAGCTCTACAGAAAGATTCAACTAATATTTACTGACCAACTGTTATGTGCTAAGTCTTACATACAAGATATCTTATTTAATCCTTCCAGTCATTCTGCCAGATAGGAGATATTGGCCCATTTTTCAGATGAGAAAACTGAGGTTAAGAAGAGTCGAGCAGTTTCTCAAGATTCCACTGGTAATCATGCTGGGATTAGAATACCAGTTTTCTGGTTTCAAAGCTGGTATTCTTCCCAGGGTCATACTCCTTCTGGAATTGTCCCACACAGCCTGATCATGGATGGGAGAGCTTGGCACAGAGAACTGTCATCACTGACGAGCTTATTGAGGGACACTGAGAAAAGAAAATCATGATTATTTTGGCAGTTCTTGCTAAACAAACCCCATGGTGCCTTCTATGTTTCTGGGCAAGCACTGATTGTAAAAAGCAAATTTAACAAGTGTAGAGAGGCTCCCTTGCCACTGAAACCAAAATTTATGGGTTTTCAGGAGGAAAGCTAATAGACTTGTGACTTCTTCTGCTGGCAAAACATCCAAGTAGAATATTCAGGGGCTATAAATGCAAATTGTTTACACTATTAAAAAAGGTAGTACTTAATGTACCAAGGGCTTTAGCATGTCTACAGAACTTGATTATTTCTGCAAGAAAATGTTAAATGTGGGAAGAATACAATGAAGCTCCCTAAACATTCTGCAGATGACATGAAATACATTATTGCTTCATTAGAAAAGCAAATAATCAATTTCATAAACCAAAATAAATGCAAAGTGCCAAATTTGCCTTCTATAGCTACTTTTCTATTAAAGCGACTTCCATTGTAGGTGGAATGGAGCTTCATTAGGCTTTCATAAGGTCAAGTTATATCACTGCTAGATCACCTATGGTGTGTAGTGTGTCTCTTTGCTTTCTTCAGGAGTACTTTGACACTAAAAATTCAAAATCAAACCAAACAAAGCTAAACTGGGAGTAGTTTATGGTTGTCAAATTTTCTAAAATAAAATTTGATGATGTATCTGTTTCAGACTCTGTGGTCTAAACCAGAGGAAATAGTTGAACTTTACAGAAAGATTAGCTGCTTACAAAAGAAATTCTGTAGGTGGAAAGAATTGCCCAGTTATTTGAAAGAACTGGAAAATCTGCCAAGTTGCATGAATTTAGCTATCACAAGAGCATTTTAAGCCTAAGGAGGGGAAAGCTTCTTAAACATATTTTAAAATTGAAATTGTGGTTAAATATATATATAACATAAAATTTACCATTTTAACAATTTATAAGCATAAAGTTCTGCAGCATTAAGTACATTCACATAGTTCTGCCATTGCCACCACCATCCAAATTCAGCACTTTTTAAAATCATCTCCCAGTCAGACTTTCTACTCATTCAATGATAATTTCCCATTCTTCTCTCCCCTGGTACTCGGTAACCTCTATTCTACTTTCTGTCTCCTTGAATCTGGGACTCTATGTTCTTTATACAAGTGGACTCATGCAATTCTTGTCCTTTGGCCACTGGCTAACTTCACTTAGCCTAATGTCTTCAAGGTTTGTCCATGTTGGGCATGTGTTAGAATTTCCTCCTTTTTAAAGGCTGAATAATATTCCATTGTTCATATAGACCATAGTTTGTTTATCCATTCATTCATCAATAGGTACTTGAATTCTTTCCACTTTTTGGCTATTGTGAACATGGGTGTACAAATATCTGTTCTAGTCCCTGATTTTGATTCTTTGGGATATATACCCAGAAGTGGCATTGCTGGATAATGTAAATCTGTGTTTCAATTTTGAGGAACATCATATGCTATTTTTCACCACAGCTATACCATTTACATTAGGATTAGAAGGGCACAAGGGATTCAATTTCTCCACATCCTCAGCAACATTTGTTATTTTCTATTTGTCTGTTTTAATAATAGCCACCCTAATAGGTATGAGGGAAGAAGGTTTTTAATATCAAACCTTTCTTTTACTTTTTTGATTTAAATTCATTAAACTCATTAATATCTATTTACCTTAATTCTGTTTATAAACTTTCAAGCACATGGTAAGTACTCAGTAAAATAAATATCTACTGAGTGTATAAATAGTTGAATTAATAAGTTCCCAGGCCAGCACATTTTCTGATTCATTTCCAGTCAGTTCAGCAAACTTTACCAAACAACCACCATGTACCAAGTCCTGAATTAACAGTGTCTTGAAGGACATCATGAAATACCCTTGCTCACAGGTTGACACCCAGAGACTGGTTATCTTTAAGTCCTTACCTGTCCCATCAGAACTTAGGGCAGTTTGGGAAAGTGTATCTCCACTAAAGTCTTTAATCCAGTGAATGTCTGTTGAGGGCTGACTATTTGCAAAGAAACCTGCAGTAGATTCTGAGCAGGAGCAGGTATGTGTGGTAATAGGTAGAATATTTGGAAACACAGGGCTGGTAGTTTTTACTGCAGAGGTTGCTCAGAAACCTCTATGCCCCACTAATATTTTACTTAGCATTGAAGGCTTCAATAAGTGTCCCTTTCACAGGGAAACTGTCCCTAATCCCCTGCAGTACATTATGTTGCATCCTTGTTATGATTTTTTCTCAGGACCTGGACCATTTGAAAGCACTTATCCTAAAATTCATTAGTTTTTGAATGATTTATTTTCCTACTAGATTCTCAGGTTGGTGGGGGCCAAGGCTACATGCACTTTATTCACCTGCTTCTCTAGTCCTTGTGCAATGCCTGGCCCTACCTGTCAGTGAGGAGACACTTGGTAAGTGATTGAAAGACTGCTTGTAGCACTTTTGTCCTTGGTAAGCCTGCGTCTAATAGGAGAGATGACCAGGTGATTTAGCACTGTCAGTGTTAGCCTACACAAATTGTCATGAAAGCAAAGAGAGGGAGAAAGTAAGTCTGATTGCAGAGAGAAGGAATTTGAAGGTTTCACAGCAAAAGCTGTTTCTGAGCTGCACCATGGATGAGTTAAAAGGAGGAGCAGATGTATGCTGGAAGGTGCTGGGTGCAGCAAGGGGAGATTAGGGAAAAACAGTGAGATGCCTCCTGGTATACTCAGGAGGTCTCAGAGACAGCAGTCTGCAGTGGGGACCTAGGGATTCAGGCAGTGATGGCACAGGTTCCTTCACTGGGCATGTATTTATCAAGTGCCTACCTTGTTCTGGGAAACCTGTGGGCCCGGGCTTCTGCCAGTGTTGCTAATAGAGTTCTTGGTTAGGGTAAAATCAGGGCTTTGTCTGAAATCAACCAACCTGTACCTCAACTGTCAATGAGCACAGGACAGTTTTCTAATTTAACTTTTAAAATTAAATTTTACTGAAAGGAAATGTTAGAGAGGAAGAGAGATTTACATATGGCTCCGGCATCCTAATTCATGGGCTCTTTCTGTCTTTCTATGTGCCACTTTGGCCTCTGCCATGGGCGTGCACAGTTTTTACATTCTTGTGATCTATATATACCCAGTTTCATAGTCTGCAGAGAGAATGCAACATGTATCTCGATTTTATAAAAAAGGCTTATGGTTTTCTGTGCCTGAAAAAAATTCCATGGACTGACCTGCCGTAGTCCACTCAGCTGCTGGACACTCTTGTTGGTAGCATGTTAGCTGGAGGAGGCAGCCCCAGCCCCTTCCCCGAGGGTCATGGAAGCCACAGTGTGAGGAGGGGGAGGCAGGGATGAAGAGTGTGGCCTGTGAGGAGGTGGTCTGCTTGTCTCTCAACAAATACTTAATTGTTGAGCAACTTCTAGGAGCTCTAAGAACCATTCCTTCTCAGGCTCCATCCCAAGAGCCACTGACGGCATGGGTGGAGGAGACCACTCTGTTTCCTGAATAAATATGGGGAGATGAGATCCTCAAGTTGGAGGTGTATCACAATTGCTACAGGGAGGTGTATCACAATTGTACAGCAAGTACAGGTCGCAGGGCCCCACAGGCTCTGGGACCAGATCAGGCATGTATGTTTTTTAATGTCTCTCAGTGATTCTGACGCACACTCAGGTCTGAAACCTACTGATGAAGACCTGTGCTTAAACCTGGCTCTTTCATTGACCAGATGTGAGACCTCAAGAAATTGACCTACCAGCTCTTAGTCTGAGATTCTCATCTCTGTATTGGGTTTTGGGGAGGAGGAAGTGATTGCAGAGTACTTGGCTCATCACTTCCCACCATTTTCAGCCACACAGAATGTCTGAGATAAAAGGTTTGTTACACGCTTCTCAATCATCCTCCCAGCTCTAAGTCCTGTTGTTGTTCACCGGGAGGGCAGATGGAGACTGAGAAACTGCTCAACCCCCTGTCTTCCCAGGCAGCCCGGCAGCGTGGTCTTGCAGTACCAGCTTTTCACCACTGGAGGTCCTGGGAAAGGTTTCTGTCTGCTAGGGGAGCCTCGCTAGCTGTGGGAGAGCCCAGGCCCTGGTTGTTGCAGGTCAGTGAAAGCTGGGGGAGGGCAGTGGGCCCAGCTACCAGCCCATGGCTCTCTGGGAAACTCAGACCCATCCCCATAACCTTTCATCTATTGGTCTTGGCCTTTCAACAGAACTAAAAATGAGAAGTCAGAAAATAGAAATGCCTTCAAATATTTTATTGCATATGGATAGATAGAAGTAATTTTTCTCCCTGAACCATCACCAGTACATTTGCTAAGGGAAGAATATTTATTGGTTTCACAAAATGATAGACTTTTTTCCATATACACATGCTGATTTAGTTTCAACTGTGTGGCAGCATTTCTTAAGATCCTGTCTTTCATATACTTTGGAGGAAGATGTCCAGCTCATTAATTCTGAAGAAAGGGTTCTGACAAAATATGAGATAAATCATAAAAATATTGCTTTCTTACTCTTTCTAGGCAAAAGCGGCAATAGTTTAAGAAATTAGCCTAAAGAAATTGCAAAGCTGAAGTGTATTTTCCATTTTAGGTACTAAGGTATTTTGTAGTGCTTGAACATGACCATCAACAAAATGCAAAAGTTATCAGAAGATATCTACCAGGTATAGAAAATAGTTTAGTGAATTTACTACATGCTGTTTTTCTGTTATGATTGGAGAGATTTCCTCGTAAATCTCAGATTTCTGAGACAGTTATGGGCAGGCATATGACCCCATTAAAAACAGGGTGGAAGAGGCTGGTGGTTCCTGAAAGATTATCCAGCTGGTAGGGTGGTGTAAGAATTCGTCAATGGTCCTAAATTTGGGAGGTTATTTTAACAAACTAAAATCTCTCATCAGTTGACTTTGAGTTCATCCTGAGTGGGCCTGACCTGATCAGGTGAGCTCTTTGAAGAGGGTTTCTGTCTTCCTGAAAGAAGAGACTCAGAGTGAGATATTGCCTGCTGGCACTGAGGAAGTGAACCGTCGGTTCATGAGACGACCTGTGAGCAGGGAATCGGGAGGGATAATAGGAGCTGGAAGTGACCTAGTTGACAGCAAGAAATCAGGGCCCTCAGTGCTACAACTGAAAGGACCTAGGTCCTGTCAACAAGCACATGAGCTTGGAAAAGTATGCTGAATTCCAGAAAGGAATGTAGCATGCCTGACATCTAGACTGCAGACCCTGAGCAAAAAAGGTTAGCCCTGCCCAGACTCCTGAGCCACAAACATTGTGAGATAATAAATGTTTGCTGCTACATTTTTTTTTTCTTTTTCCCCTTCCTGCTCCTCCTCCTCCTCCGCCTCTTCCTTCTTTTTTGACTCCTCCCCTCCCCCTCCTATTTCTTCAGAATGAGCTAGATTTGAACACATCTGTGGGCTGAGGAAAAGATCACCAGAGGGTATTTGAGTGTCCCCTTTCATAAATCATTAATACTGGCAACCTACTATTGTGCTGGACTACAATTACAAAGGAGATCTCTGTCTTACTTTTGTGGGGGGCTGTGGTAGACAGATGAATGGAGGGAGGCGAGATCAGGGACAGGAGGTATGAAACAGGGGCAGGGAGAGAGTGGAAGGCTTGTGCTCTGGCTTTCAAGGAGGAAGGGCTGCAGGCTAAGGAACCCAGGCAGCCTCTAGAAGCCAGAAAAGGAACAGATTCTTCCCCAGAGCCTCTGGAGGGAGTATGGCTCTGCTAACATCTTGATTTTGGCTTAGCGAAAGTGATGTCAGACTTCTGACCTCCAGAACTGAAATACATTTGTGTTATTTAAGCCACTAGATGTGTGGCAATTAGATACAGCAGCAATTAAAACAAACACAGAGTCCATGGCAGGCAGCCCTCCAGACCCTTCATGATGCTCTCGTTGGGTGTGCACAGCATGCAGGGGCACAGGGCGTGGACAGGTCCTGCCCAGAATCAAGGGCTGCAGAGGCTGGGGAGGGAGCCAAGGAGAGCTGTACAGAGAAGGAAACAACATCTGAACAACGTTTGGATGGAAGAGCAGGAATTAGGTGCAAGGATATAGGCAGTGAGGTGGGGAAAGTATTTCAAACAGAGGAGCAGCAGGAACAAAACCCAGCATCCAGAGAGGGTGTGACAAGCTGTGGAATCTTCAGGAAGTGCAGTGAGGCTGGAGGCCCAAGTACCCAGGGAGGGACAGAGGACCAGGAGCTGAGAGCACTGCACGCCCCACATGCCATGTCTGCTAGGCGAACTTGTTTGGGGACACCTTCCTGATGATGCAGTCTCAAGTAGGGAAGTAAACATGATAATATAATGCATTTTAGGAAAACGTTTCTGGATAAAGTGTAAGAATGAATTGGAAGACTGAAGCAGTAAGCCCAATCACAGGAGGCTTGTCATAATGTGCGCTTGAGGTGTTAGTGGTTTAGACAGAGGGTAGGTTATGGAAATGAGAAAAGGACAGAGCTAAACATAATTAAGGAGGCAGATGGGAATGAGGAATAAAGCTAAGCTCCAGGTAAGACAGAAGCTGCAGAGCAGAGCTGACCTGCAGCAGGAAGAGTCCCCAGAGAGGGACAGGTAGGCCAGAGAGGGAGACCTGTAGGGGCGCAGAGGCTCCCACTTGATTGCCAATTTCTGGATAACCTTGGCCATACTATGTTGGGCAGGGGCCCAGAAACACCTGCTTAGAATTATTAAGACTCTTACCAAGCCCAAGAATTGGGACCCTGGCTTCTTGCAGCTCATTCTAAGCCAGTATTTCGGCCTTACCACTCCTCCCCCTGACCAGGAGGCATCAGTATTTGGGAGCAGGACTTCCCCATGCCACGTGCCAAAGAGAAAGAAGCTCTCCCCATGCCTCTGGCTTCCCAGCTCTAGCTTCTTGGTTTAGTGTCCACACCCTGGGGTAGGCAAGGCTCAGGAGAGATTTCCCTTGCTCCTAAAAGCTGTTCACTTGCTTGGTTCCTAGCTGCCCACTCCACTCACTTTTTAAGCATTTCCTTTAAGGAAAATCTGTTCTTTGATGCTAATCCCTGGAAAAGATTGGTTTGCCTTTCCTACATTCCCAGCAGTGTAAAGAGCTGTAAACCTGCACTTAGCTTTCTGTATGTGGGATGAAGAAAAGAGATTATAGGCACACAGGGCCCTTCACAGTAACAGTGTAAACCGCAATTTAGTGCCTTTGAGATTAGGAGGTTCTTCCCTCAGGATCACTTATCAGTGTAGGTATGGGTGGGTGGAGGGGTGACTTCCCCTCCCAACAGGGAGGTAGGAGCTAATTTTAGTGGTATAAATAATTTTCATTTAAGCACTGCTTTTGGTGCCAAAATTATTGGTGGTATGATATGTGACATTGGGCAAGTTACTTACTGTATTTGTCTGCTAGGGCTGCCCTAACGAAGTGCCACAGATGGTGTGTGCAAACAACAGAAATGTATTTCCTCACAGTTCTGGAGGATGGAAGTCCAAGATAATCGTGTCAGCAGACTTGGTCTCTCCTGAGCTTCTGCCCTGGCTTGTAGACGCCCATCTTCTGGTGTCCATGTATGTCCTCCCTCTGCACAGGTGCCTCCCAGGTGTCTCTTTATGTGTATGTAATTCCTTTTCCTGTAAGGATACCAGTCAGGTTGGATTGGGGCCTACCCACATGACCTCATTTTACCTTACTTACCTCTTTAAAGTGCCCATGTCTGAATCCAGTTACATCAGGGGCTGGCCAGGGGTTAGGGCTTCAACATGTAATTTGGGCGGACACAACTCCACTTCAGAAATTTATCTTCCTAAGGCCCAGCTTCCTTCCTTACCTCTGAAATAGTGATAATAACTGTAGCTTCCTTGTCTGGTTGGCTTGCATATTAAGTGAAATACTGCATGAACACAGCCTGGTATCGTCTCTGATGCTTAGGAGTGCTCAGCAAACTCATGCACCTGCACCGAGGGCCGACATCCACCAAATGGGTGAAGGCGCATTCTTCAACTCCAAGAAGCTATTTGAGGTCTGTGCTCCTTCCACGCAGCTAAAATTCTCAGCAATATATTTAGAACACATAGGAAACTAGTAATAGTAATTATTTCTAGAGTGAGAAATGAGTCTTTTAATGTTTTTGATACCATTTTTCATTGTAAAGACAGTTTAAAAAAACACTTCTGTGTGGCTGGTGCTCTATGTCTTTTTCCCACCTATTTTACAAATAAAAATTAACCTTATTAATTTTTATCTGTAAATGTGTTTTACCTCTAAATATATTTAATTACATCAACAATTTTTGAACTTTTTTCTTACAACTATACATATATTTTTTTTTTAAAGAAACCCTTCTCATTCAGAGCTTATAAAGATACTCTTTCACTATGCTATTCTAAGGGGTTTCATGATTTCCTTTTGACATTTAGCTCTTTTTAACCCAATATAAACAAATTTGGGGATATGATATTCAATAGAGATTTAATCTTTTTTCCATTTTTTCTCTATATGGAAAGCCAGTGTTCTCCACACTATTTATTGAATAGTCCATCCTTTCCCTATGATTTACAATTCCTTCTCTGTGATGTATGAAAGTTTCATATATACTTGTATATATGAAATACCTATATTTGGGAGCTTTTTATGCTGTGCCATTTATCTATCCCTGTGTCTCCATCACACAGTTTCAATTGTCTCATTTTAAAGAAGTCCTGTTATCCTGGAGGGCAAGTCCCTTTTCCTTGTTTCATTTTGGAGGGTGCTCATCTGGATGAACTTTAAAATCAGTTTCTGTAATTGGTGACTTTTAATTCCCTGTGCTAGTACCAGAGAAAGTGTTCTCATGGCCACCCCTTCACATTTAGGGTCACGCAGAGCCCAGGTGCCCTTCCCAGGGACTGGCTTCGTTGGTTAAGGCTGTGGCTGGGAAGCGTCAAAAGCCTCAGTCTCCTCAGGTGATGCCAGTGCCTCCGAAGTTCTCTCAGAGCGGGTCTGTGGGCGTGAATTCCTGTTGGAGCCCATAACCCCGCCCCTCCAGCGTGTCTGGCCCCAGTAAAATGTCCACCATCATTAACGATCCTTTTGCAGAGATCCTTTGCAACTCTTTTCACTCTTGGACTTGGAA